GTAATACATATCGGGCACTATAATGAATACTTTCTGACGTCAAAAACTATATAAAGTCATAATCTTTGCGACACGCTCACGTCATTGTATCTTTTACATATAGCTGGAAAATATTAATGAAGACTTTTATAACATATAAGAATAGTATAGTATTTTAGAAAAAAACGTGTTCATTTTAATAAAAATAAAAAATAAATAAAACAAGTAGATTTCTTTGGTATAACAACTTGTTCACATGAAATCGAGAGCCGAATTTCTTTCACTATCCATCAATTAGACGTTCATTAGCGAGACAAATAATGATTGATTTTGTTTTGTCGTTTTTCGCATAGCAGCACTCAACGAGCCGACCATAGATTACGGCTTCCAGAGGCTACAGAAACTTATACCAAGGCATCCGGGCGATCCGGAAAAGTTGCCTAAGGTAAGTTATATGCATTATTTTAAAAGTAAAAACTGAATTGTTTTTGAATGTAACGTAACATCTATTAGCCTTATTAATTCACAAAGAGTTTCACTTCTGTACTCTCTCAGCGTTATTTGACATCATGATTACTAGCTTTTCAAGTCTAGCTTTTTTAGAATATTTATATTTTCAAGATATTTTTCATTTAAATATTCATAATCCTATACAATAAATATGACGGGAACCTATATTTGGCATAACTCTCGCATGAGTTAAATATTTTAGGAATTACATTGGGAATTCATATCAATTTAAAATTATTAGGTATTCGTTTTCTTTACATAAAATTATGCAGTGTTACATTAGTATAAATATATGTACATAGGTAATATATGCTTTAGGTTAAAAGTGATACAAACTTCGCGTAATTAAATAAGTTATTTTTTTATATGTTTGGCATTTTGTAAGTGAACTGCACTAAGACTGAACTAGTGCGAGTTTCTAAGAGCCCTTACCCGCATCTTCATATTTTCTATAGAGGTCTCATTTTCTGAAACTGTAACGTACTCTTTTCAAGTCAGTAGACATTTTAAGCAAACCTTCTCAATAGAACGTAGTTTTGGTTTTAAGGTTCACCTCTCCAGTCAAATAATAAAATATTTTTTTCTTGGCTGGATGATCCTGTTATTTTTATACTTTTAGTATCTTAGGCGATGCCTTGTGATCAGAAATAAGGCCTGAATACAGCATTATGTTGCTATTTTACATTATTTTTGTGAGAGCGTGGTTCTTTCCAATTCGTGTTGCAACATATATAGATATAGCTGTATCGTGGCACTACTATGTTGTAAACTGTCGAAAATTATTTAAAATGTGCTACCATTGTCGCAGAGGCGGTCATAGACATAGGGGGAAGAAATCGTTGTCAAAAACATTTTATTGTTGGATAGGAGATAATACTGAAGCGTGCGGCTGACTTGGCGGAGGCACTGTACTCGATGCCTCGCAACAATCAACTGCTGCCGCGTTCGCCGCCGCCCTCCGCGCCATTTAACTCCTACGCACAAGACGCTGCGACACACCAGTGGACCGAAGGTTTGTAGCTTAATTAATATTTGCGACGTAGTTGAAATGTTAATTACAGCCTACAAAAGTCCATTGCTAGACTGTACGTCTCCATAGATTGCCTTATAGGGATGATTTTGATTGACTTTTGATTTCGTCATAGTATTAGATAGTTGTCAAAATCAAAAATGACATCGGTTACGACGCATAGCAGGCGGGTTGGCCACCGCAGTTTTTTATAATTTTAAATTATTATTAGGAAGTTCCTACTACTCATCTTCTGATCCAGATTCCTTAACCACCACCTTTCTTTTAATAGCCGTTTTCTATTAAAAATAAAGGGTAATTAAAGCTTTATTTGACCCATTGCGGTCACAGGCCATACCTGATTTCTGGGAGGATTATGTATAAGATAATAAAAAATATTTCTACTGGAATTTCTACACAGATAAGAATTTGTGCATAATATATTTTTATTTATTTAAATTATTTTTATTGTTTTAAGTTCTTTTTATATAATAAAATGTAATGTTCAAAATCAGTTTTAACGGTGGTAGAGCCACGCGGCAGCTTTTGTTGTCGCACGGATGGGCCGGCTCGAACCGGGGTAGTACCACGACCTCACAGAAAACCAGCGTGAAGTAGAGGTTTACCTCTGCGTTTCGCTTGGTGAGTGCAGGTGGCCGGAGGTCCTTTTTACTGGAAATGAGGCATTCCATCTTAGTCCTCACGGGTGACAACGCATCTACATTTTGATTTGTAACAGAGGATAGATGTAGATGTCTATGGGCCGCAGCAACCACTTACCATCAGGTGGACTGTGTGCTCGTTTGTCACCCTTATCCTATAAAAAAAAATCAGGTAAAGTAATTTCATGTTCTCGAGTATTTTAAAAGATTAATGTATCCCAAAATACAGTTTTTTGGCTATGGTGTTACAAGTGATTGGAAGCTTTTGGTCATATTTTAGACATTAAAAGAAATATTTGTTTGCAATTATTTTTTTATATCACTATTATATCACAAGTATGGTTTTATTGTAGGTATTCTTAACGTAATACTTTGTTTAAATGAAACTAATTTACAGATTTTATCGCGTATATTAACTTATTTTACATTCCTTTAATAACAGTAATACTTTGTGCTTAATATTGGTTTTATAGTGATTATTAATTACATACAAAAATTAATGTTTATAGTTTTTATATAAAATTAATGCTTGTTTGTTCGTATTACAATATAACTTTTCCAAATTTAAAACGATATTTTCATAATTATTTTTTCTGCGGTAGCAATGCTTCGGTTAGCAGCTAGTTTTGATATAAATAATAGCTGTAAAGGCGTACGAGAATCCACTATCCACTATCTTAACTATATGCGTGTCCTAAGAGGCGATAGAGTGAAACTATAACAGATGTTCGCCAACCTGCCTGGCAAATATCCCCCCCCCCCCTCCAGTTTGTAGTAATCTACGGGAGACCTATATTCAGCGGTGGACTTCAGTAGTCTGTCGTGATGATGATAATAGAGTAGTTTGGCCTAGATCCTACATGATATTAAGTGGTCGTATCGTCCTATATGATAAACATGTTAGCCAACAAATTACTATTTACTTATGACTTGAACAGTCAATGTATATAGTTGTCAAGGAAGTGTTTTACTTACACCAACTATGTTACAATTATGTACATCAAGTGTGCCTAACACACTTGATGTACATAATTGTAATATAGTTGTAATTGTAATAGATTCTATAACTACAACATCAGATACTATTTTGAACATCTAATATTAAAAGCAACCTTATTACGATTTTTTAAATACGATACTTTATATAAATTAACTGTGCCTTAATAAAAAGTAATTTAAAATTTTAGTTTCAATTTAAATTAAAACTCTCCTTCCGCTACATATACTCTCCAAATACATTGTAATAATGAATGTAAAAAAATAAAACTGATGTATTGCTTAGCAAGACTGTGTATCCGTATTTAAATAACGTTTCGCAAATAAATAAATTTTGTAAAGACAAAGACTCCTAACATAATTTCGTGTTGACCCCAGGCTTTTTCTTTTAGAGGAGTACGCGCGTAGCGGCGGCTCAGTGTCGCCGCGGTACTGCGCCGGCGCCGCCACGCCGCACTACGCGCAGCACTACGCACCACCCACCTCGCTTTTCAACTCTACCTCTCGTAAGTACCGTTAACCAATTTAATTTAAAGAAAAAAACCCACACTAAGTTTTGCTCCTGTATCGTGGAGGCAGTTTACAAACATAAATTCCATAAAGACAAAAATCCGGAATACATATTGCAATGATCATACAAATATAGTTGTTCCGTGCGGAATTCGAACCCGTGACCCGTGCCACAGCTTATTGCTAAGCCACTGTGCTACGGAGCTGTCAAATTACTACTTTCCTACTTTTTTCTCCTTCTACTCATATCAAAATATTGATGCACCTAACTGTATTTTTACCCAATTCTTACTTTTTATCACACACTATCAATTTCTGTCTCTCTCATTCTTTCTTTCTCTCTCTCTCTCTCTCTCTCTCTCTCTCTCTCTCTCTCTCTCTGTGTGTCTCTCTATATTAAATTAACAAAAATCTTAGTCATCTTTGTCTTTTTACTGTCTTTGTTTTCATCCTACACTTAAAGCTAGGAAAGGCCCTTTGCATAGGAAAATTCGCGAAGTGGAATCCTGGTGACTTTTATTACAAGAATGCTTATTACAGGCACCAGCCTCTCAGTCACAGGTAGAGTTAGACATAGTTTACCTTTTGTGACTTATTGTCTTTTGTAACTTTAATATCTACTTTTTTCCTCTTTATAAATGTATTAAATTACGCAGTATACAAATACAATTCGGTTAAAACAATCTGCAACCTTTGTGACTGTTGTCCGTACTAGGGTTATAGATCACCAAAAGTTCAATGCTGGACATGAATCTTTTGATGCGCATTGCTAATCAACAAAAGAGGCTGCGACGGTCTCATGGGGGATTATAGACACATTTACGCCAAACAAAAAGACCATAGACAGATAAGTAGGTGCATTCTTAAAATGACTTACAACCACGAGTGGACTAAGAAGGGCTATTAAAGTAGTGACAAAAGAAGATCCATATGCTAAAGTTAAAATTGCGTGTATTAGTATTACCTAATTAGAGCACTATACAATACCAGCGCTTCCCAATTATCTAAACCAGCTCATTCACACACACACACACACACACTGTCACTAACGATATATAACTATCAAAATTGAATATGTGACACGTGTTTTCGTGACATTCGTATCAAGCGAATGAGCTTTCCAAGAATCTACTTCTGAGAAATATTGCTTGAGAAGAATTCCCATCCACACTCAAGTCTACTCATATATTATTATAGTTAAATTATATTATTGCCTTTGACCATGAAAAGAACGACAAATGAGATAATGCCTCTGAAGTTTCTTTCATTGTTTCTTCAACTATCAGAATAATGTAATTAGATTTGACGGCTCTGTGGCGCAGTGGCTTAGCAATAGATAAGTTTCAGTGCCAAGAGCCGCGGGTTTGAATCCCGCACGTAAAAAATATTTGTATGAAATAATTATTCCGGGTGTTTGGATGTTTGTTCTTGTGAAATTTATGTATATAAACCACGATACAGGAGAAAAACCTAGTGTAGAAGTAACGTTTTTAAATGAAAAAAAAAGAAAAGAAACTTAATTAGATAGGGAATTAGATAAAAAATTCCACAAGATATAAAAAAATAAATCACAGCCTATATACATACGACTCCCTGCTGTGCACAGGCCTCCTCCGCTTCCAGTAAGTGTTTTGGAGCATAGAACAGTGCGTGGTGATACCCAAATGCAAGATGGCGGACCCATCATGTCTCAGTGATATTTATATTTTTTTCTGGCGGACTTAACAAATGGACATCCTACTAATATTTATAATTTTTCAGATGAAAACAGATTTCCTCACATTGTTTTCAGTAGATTGTAAATCAGCAGTTAAAATTAAAATTAACAATATCTTTGATGCCAGCGGGGATCGAGGTTGGTTTGCTCGTGTACTAAGAAATTCCTAGCCAAGCTCAATAGAAAACCGTAAACGCTTTTTATTAGTACAATGTAACAGCAACGAAGATAGTTTTTGCCTCTTTAGTCTTTCAAACCCCAACACTATAATCAGTATGATGATCGATTGTTATTTTTACTTAAATAATATTTTTATTTAGAATTTATTTAAATGTATCTTTAATTTATTTCTGTAATTGATATTTTTGCTTGCCGTAATCTAAAAAAAATTTTAGGTTTTTGAGAGCTTTTTGTTTTAACCCATCTTTTTTCCCATCCCAGTGTCGTTAGGACCGTACCACCCGGCTACAAATGGACAAATAACTGACCATCACAACTATAACGCGTATAACTCGAAAGATAGCGTCCATTACGCTGAAAGGAATGAGAAATGCGCGGTCGACTTTGAAGCAAACAGCCATACAAAATGCAACCCGAGCTATATGAAAGGGCAACACTGTAAAGAGGCTAAGCTAAGAAGCGCATTCGCTGTTGTAAAGCAGAGCCCGCAACATAGCTGGCAACATTTATCCGTACAGTGTTAGTAGTGCTCCACTTTTTATTTCGGTTGATTTTGCGACTTTTATTTTTTGTTTATTTTTATTTCCACTTTGCACGCTTTGTGATATATGCATTTTTAATTGCAAGCAACTAATTTCTTCGCATGATATATAATTTAATTTTCTGTTAGAATTCTGTTAACTTTGAGTGACAAGAAGAAACCTCTTTTTTTAACGAGACAGTTCACCTGATGGTAAGTGGATGGACATCTATCTTCAATTAAGAATCGAAATGTAGATGCGTTGTCATCTTTGATAACTATGATGAATTATCTCGTTACAAGTCAAAAGAGTCTTATATTTCATAGTTCGTTAATGATAAATAAATTAATAACAATAATAACAGAGGGTAAACGTAGATGTCTATGGATCACAGCATCCACTTACCTGCAGGTGGAGTGTGATCGTTTGTCACACTTATTCTACATTTTAAAAAAACGAAAAAGTCCACTGCTGAACATTTCCATAGTTGCCATGCTTGTCAGGCGGGTTAGCAAGAGCAATTTTTTTTGCTATTTTGAATTGTTATCGGGAAAATGACGCTGCCCATCTCTTGTTTCGTTTCCCTTTGTTGCCGTTTACGACATTCACGGGATGTTATGGGGTAATGTACTTATTCTCATACGTCTCTACACGTTCATAAAAATAACTAACTATGAATATTAATATGTTCGTATTAAATGAACACTATGGAACTTAATACTAACGTTTGGTTAGTATTAAGTAACACCAAAAATACCGTTTGGTTAGGTACAATCATTCGTATAATTTTACTGTCCTATTCCCTAAGCCACTTACGACAATTAAAAAAAATTACCTTATAAGAGACTTCTCTATTTTTGACGTAGTTTTTTTTTATAGGATAGGGTGACAAACGAGCACACAGTCCACCTGATGGTAAGTGGTTACTGTGACCCATAGACATCTACATCTATCCTCAATAAAGACTCAAGATGCAGATGCGTTGTCACCCGTGAGGACCAAGATGGAATGCCTCTTTTCCAGTAAAAATGGTCTCCGGTTCTCTACACTCACCATACGAAACACAGCAGCATTAAGCTGCTATTTTACGTTGGTATTCTGTGAGAGCGTGGTCCTTCCCCGGTCGAGCCGATCCATTCGTGCTACAACTATACTATTAATATAGTTGCAGCGTGGTAGAGCAAGTAGTGAAAGGCTTAACTATATTTACTGCTACTGATTGGTCTAGGTGTCGTTCTATGAGAGAACTTTATACTTTCTCCTCACGATTAACTGCTTCACATAAACAATTCTTACAATATGTTTGTTTCAGGAATGAGCGGTCTAGTCTCGTCACCATTTAGCGTCAATCCTTTCTCCCTGCCGACGTGCAGCGCACAGCAGTATGCGCAAACAGCTCCGCTGGCTTCCAAGTAACATAATACTATTACTTAGGCTGTTTCAGAAGCAACAGAGTGCATTTATTTTATTATATCATTATCACTATTGTTATGTATCCAAAAATATGAGAGGCAAAGAGGTGAACGCCGTTGCCTTTATGAATAAAAAAGTAGTTCTGTATTATTACAACGGTTTTATAATTTACTTTTGTTGATAACGTTAGCAATCATGTACATAAGTATAGTGAAATTTAGTATTTTTTAAAGTGAAAATAACAGTAAACTCTTATCTATTATTGAAATTGAACACTACAAAATTGGTATATTTATGTTTAAATATTTAATCCTTAATTTTTTATATAATTTGAAAGTTTTTATTCGCATTGGTGGTACTCTCAAGTTTTAATGTTTATTGGCGGCGTATTTTTGTATAAATTGTACATATTTTGTAACTTTATTGTACATATTAAAACATTATAGAGTTGATAGTTGTAACTCTAAATGCATAGTTCGTTTGCTAGATTGAAATAGTCACGTAGATTTTATATACGAGTCCCGATTTAAAACTCTTCAACTGCTCAGGATTTCGAATTATATATTGTGTAAAATAGTCAAGCTATTAACAAATTACTACTACGTGTCGTTGTTTCGTTTTTTGTAAAGTCTGTGATATATTTATTGTAAGTGATGTTTGTACATTTTAATGTAATTGTAAGTGAAATACTCGGACATCTAATTCTTATGAAAATATTTTTTTTTTGCTTGTAAATGTCATGTAAATATCGCAAATAACGATCATATCTATTAAAACATATCGTTTAATAAGAAATTTGACTTGTATTTGAAGCGTGACAAATACAACGAAATAAACTGGTTGAAACGTCGGAATATGTATACGAGGTAATCAAAATAATTCCTTCTCGCAGCTTACTCTAATATCCCAAATAATGGGAACATAAAGAGATTTCTCCTGAATATATTGTATGTGGTAACTTATATTTTAACAAATTGTATATCGAATAAAAATTGTACATTGTAATCATTCACAAACAAAACTATCACGAAATACGAAAATAAATTACATATTATTTAACTTGTTTTATTTATTTTATATGAAACAAATATATCAGGATATCAGTACCTTCTCATACAATTTTACAATATTAAATTTTAACGCAGACTTTTTTTATAGGATAGGGTGACAAACGAGCACACAGTCCACCTGATGGTAAGTGGTTGCTGTGGCCCATATACATCTACATCTATCTTCGTTTGCGAATTAAAATGCAGATGCGTTGTCAGTCGTGAGGACTAAGATAGAATGCCTCTTTTCCAGTAAAATGGGTCTCCGGTTCTCTACACTCTCCACACGAAACACAGCAGCATTAAGCTGCTATTTTACGCTGGTATGGTCCTTCCCCGGGCGAGCTGACTCATTCGTGCTACAACTATACTATTAATATAGCTGCAGCGTGGCTCTACCACGTACAAAAAAAGCTTGATATTTTTTAAATATGACTCGAATTACTGAAGGTTGCTTATGAAATATATCATAACAATTTTAAAAGATATTTTCATATATTATACTTTACGTATATCTTTATGTGAGGATATATACAAAAATTAGACTCCGATATATCGAAAGAACAAAAATATAAAGACTCTCTAAAAAATTAAGATATATTAAATTGCATAACTCGCAAAAGATCACGCACATAAACAGAATTGGTTCTGAGTTAAAGAGAAATATCAAATTAATATTTTATTTTTAAACTGCAATCAATTATTTGATTGTAATGATAGATGTAGAGTAATGATTAAATATTTTTTACCGTTTAATACCTATAAGCATTGTTATTTCAGTAAATAATAATTTTATTATATGGTAATATTAGCTTATTAACCAGTATTTTATAATAGAACGATCACCCACTTCACAGACTGCACCATCAGTTTCATACAACACCATCTACGTTACCCATCCATCATACCAGTAACTCCAACAAAAACATCGTCGCAAATAGTCGGCCACCATTGTGATTTCACACATGCTAACGTTCGGACCCCAATTGTAATATTATACTTACAATTTTTGTACTTCTCCAAGGGTAATATTTTCCATTGTTAACTCTGACTAGATAATGCATGGGTTTATCGCTGTTCCTAATTGTACAGCCGAAGAATGGGGATTGTATTACACGAATTAGCATAAAAAGAGGCTACTAGTGTTTTGCAGGCGCTCTCTTTTGTAAATATAAATTAATTATGATAACTTCAGTTGATTTTAAAGGGTGAGCTCCATGTATGTTGATTAAGTTTTACTTTCTTTCTTATAATAAGACCAATTTTTTATTTAAATTGTAACTATATAATTAAAATTTAAATTCAAGTTTAATTTTCTTCAACGAATGTAAATATTATAAACACAACGTATCAATGATAGAAATTTCAGCAAATACCTGGAACAGGTTGACATAGTTAAGCATCTCAAGGAAATAGACAAAATAACCCATGGATAAAATAAGCGAGACAGAGATGAATTAAGCTAAGACATACAGTCAAGTTGGTTTAGTTTATAATGTTTTAATTTTTAGATTGATATTTTTATCTGATTTCATATTAAACGAAACATTTTTTTAAAACGAATATTTTAACAAATATATAAATATATGTTAAAGTATGTTAAATAATTGATTTTTTTAACATCTTACCAATACTCTTTAATTATGAATCCATTAAACGTGAGAAAGTATTGAGACCCAAAATATAAACTCCATAATTTTCAAATTGTAGCGAAATCACACAGTACAACGAGGAGGATTCAAATAATAATGATATCCACTTTCAACATTCTTATCTATGCATCTATACAAATAAATAAAATTAAAGTGTCTGTTTATAATGACAAAATTACGGCTTTTTACTAAATACATATGAAAGTATATACGTAACTTATAACAAAAACACAATTTTTAAAATTTTTGTCTGTCTGTCAGTCTGTCTGTCTGTCTGTCTGTTTGTTCCGGCTAATCTCTAAAACGGCTGCACCGATTTTGACGGGAATTTCACTGGCAGATAGCTGATGTAATAAGGAGTAACTTAGGCTACTTTTATTTTAGAAAAAGAATTAGGGTTCCGCGCAAAAAAACTAAAACCCCAAATAACACGCGGGCGAAGTCGCGAGGATCAGCTAGTATATTTTATATAACTTGTCAAGAGGTCCGTTTTAAAGTGAAGCGATTTTCTAATAACGACAAGCAGTGTTTGAGTTCTAATGACTACGTGGTGAAGAGGCACTAAACTCTGTTGGTGTAACAATTTCAAAGAAAAAAAGCTTGTATAATTGACAATCCGTAGGTGTGGCGATCTTCTAAAATAATACGTAACAAATGTAAACATTGATACTACTACGAAGCTACTAGCAGAAATCAGATCAGTCATGTCATTTATAACCTAACAGAAGAGACTAAACAAAAATACACAAAGAATAAAGGAATAAAATTTCAAGTTAGTAAAGTAGAGTCAGTAAAGGAATTTATAAATAGTTACTAGAATTAGAATACATATAACTAAACAAACAAAAGTCACGTTCATTATAAATATGTTGCAACAAGTTGCAACTGCATAAGTCTAATTTGTAAACGGGTGCTTCGTAGCGCTCCATTGACATCGTGTGCTACGCACGTGGCAATGTCGTAGTGGGCACGCGTTTGAATGATATTCCCTCGAAGTTTTCCTAATTTAACAAACATGATTATAATAGAAAAGAAATAATGTATATGAAAGATTTAGATTCAGATGCCTCTGAAAAATACACTTAGCTGAACTTAGTTAAAATAGAAGATACCTACCAAAGTACTTCAATTTTTGAATATTTAATAAGTATGTATTTAAAACGATGCCTTATAGAATAACAAAAATAGTATCTTTTTCTGTTTGTAAAATTATTCTTACTGTGCCAAAAAAATGTATCGCATAATCGTGTTTAAGCCGTAAGAAGTGATATCTTAATTATTTTGAGGGATGGTTTGTGAGATACTTTTTTGAAGCCTGTTATAGAACTTATTTTAAAGTATTTTTTTTCGAATAATTTGAAATATGATATTAAAAATGGGTGTAGATAAGTGACATCTTATCTATCCGGACATACATATTTGTAATCCCTTTTTACTAAATAAGTTAAGTGAACAAATCGTAGTTGCATCGCCACGTGGCGGTCGCGCGCCGTGTGACCGCGCATTACTAAATTAGCGTCCGATGTGCGCCTGCCCTTAAATCGTATTAAGTGGGGGCGGGTCATGTTACAAACTCGAATTATTTTCGGAAAATTATAACTTCTCTAGTGGGTTTGCCACAAGATTTATTTTTTTCCATTGTTTTTAAAACTAAAACCTTTTAATGTATTTTTGTAATTTGTAAATAGCGTAAAATTAAATCGAAAAGCGACTTGAAATCAAGTGTTCTAAATTTAAAATTTTAAAAAAGGAAATTATATTCAGCGTTCTTGATTATGTGACAAGCCAGTATCTAGTAATACTGAGTTTTCAGATGTTAACACGTTCAAGTGTGTTGAAGTTTCCCTACGCATTATCAATTTGATTTTATTTTACTTTGTAGTGTTATGCTACTTACATATCATTTTACACTATTTTAAATTCATTTTTCCATTATGTTTTGATTCTTCTGCATTCACCTCAAAACTGGATATTTTGCATCACCTTTATTTCCATAGGATCCTGTAACGTTTTTAAACCATAAGAACACAATAACAAATCATTTTCAAACTCTGCATTTCGGGCTTTGTGCGCGTTGGTGCGCTACCTTTTTTCCTATAGCAATAATATCTCATTTTTCACTTAAATCTTGCCGTTTCTCTATTACGAGCCTAAAACCAAAATTTGACATGTTTTGACATCGTTGTTTATCTGGTTGTCATGGCAATTTTTATTCAAATTCGCTACTGGTCTGTTGTTTCTACTTCGATAATTCCACATAAATACTCTTTCCTCTTGGCCATTTACAAAAAATTTGCTTTTA